TATAATAATAATAATAAAAAAAGAATGCTAGTCAGTGTATGTATAGCCTATCCTTCCGACGGCCCAGGCTAATGACCCACCCAGCCAACTTGAGTCAACATAATTTTAGTATATTTAGCATGCTCAGGCTAAATCCAGTAGGCTAACTGGGCTTGTCAATGTCAAAATGTTTGAGACAGCCAATCAAAACAAAGGAAGCTTGAGCTTCTGTAAAAAATACTGCATAGTGAATAATTTATATAGGATGTGCCTTTGTGCACAAAATAGTGGAGATGAACAACTAAATGCCTATGAACAACAACAGTCATGCTGGTCTATGCCTGGAAAACTCTGGGCCAGATGTATATGTTGTGTTGAGAAGTAAACAATACTTGATGTTCAGTTTATAGTAATTGCTTACAATTAACACATGTAATGCAGAACTGCACCACTGGGGGGGGGGGGGGCCTAAAATGGTGAAGAACAAGAATAGGTTCAGGCAACGTGTGCAAAGAGCGGATGAGACTATTACGCAATACGTTGCTGCATTAAGAGCGTTAGCAGCCTCATGTGCGTTTGGGCAAATGGAGAGTGAAATGCTTCGTGATCAGTTGATCGCAAATGCGTCGTTGACTGCAGTGAGGGACACATTACTACTAGAGGAGGACCTCACTCTAGAGAAAGTGATTACAATTGCATGTCAAGTGGAAGCTGCAGTTAAAAATTCGTCATTACTCTGTCATTCCACTGCTACTGCCATGAAGTCAGTACAAGCCATTAGTATGGATACTAAGTACGGCAGACGGGGAAAGGGTGAAAGCTCAACTAAACAGTCACAGGCTGTTCAGAGACGATCGGAGGATTGACAACAAACAGCAACAGGCCAGCAACATCAGCAATGCTTTAGATGTGGATCGGACAAACATCTGGCAAATGATAAAAACTGCCCTGCTGCTAAAGTAACTTGCAGACTCTGAGGAAAAAAGGTCACTTCACTAGAGTGTGTAAAGCAGTAGCGAGTGACGTAAGATAGGTGGTTGTTCCAGATGTGACTGTGCTCTGCTTGGATAACATTAAACAATCTGCTGCAGCCAATGATAAGATTACCTGTGAAGTGAATATTGAAGCACCAGGAGGTAATAAACATACCTTACAACTGGTTGTGGATACGGGCGCATCAGTTTCTATACTTCCAGAAGCTGTGTATAAGAAACACTTTTCACAATGCACGTTGACTAAGCCCAAAATCAAACTGGTCACTTATGCAAAAGAGGACCTACCAGTTATTGGGTGCTTATCAGCATTAGCAGGTGTATCAGCAAATGACAATGTAGTCCTGCCTACTTTTTATGTAGTGACGGTGGGATTTCCCTTGCTAGGGTTAGATTTAATTAGATTGCTGAACCTGGACATTGTAAGTGGAAAAGTAAAGCACATAGACCATGAAGGTGAAATCTAACCTGCAGTGTCATGAGTCTGGGCCCTGCGTTTCTCCCTCTCTCCTCCAGAGGGCGCCATCTCCCGGACTCCATTCCCCAAACCCCATACACCTGTTCACTCATTACACTAATTCCCCAAACTCTATACACCTGTTGAGTCATTCACTCATTACACTCACCCTCAGCTGTTCCCCATTGTCACAGACTATATCTCCTCCTCTCACTCACCACTCTGCCTGGCTGTATTATAAATGTATTTGTATCTGTCGTTCCTAGATCTGTTTTGTTTTGCCTTGTTGGCCTTTCTGTTCATTAAAAAGAAGTTTTCACCTGCATGTGGATCCAGACCCTGTTTCTCCTCGGTGTTTCGTACCGGGCCGTGACACTGCAGCTCTTCATACGACTGAGCATTCCACAAGTCCTGTGTATACAGTGTCACCTGTATCTGCTGCTCACCTCGGATGTGTGAAAGGATTCATCCACAAAGTGCAAGTTAATTCAACAGCGACACCAGTACATCAAAAACTGAGACGCTTGCCTCTCAGCATCCGCAAGGAGGTGTCCACTGAGCTTAATTGTCTCCTTACAGTGGGCGTAATTGAACCAGTTGATGCTTCAGAATGGGTTAGTCCTTTGGTGATGGTACATAAGTGTGATGGACACATTAGACTTTGTGTAGACCTCCGTGAACCCAATAAGAGTATGATTATGGATTGCTACCCATTACCTCACATGGAGGATTTGCAGGTGCTTCACATTACAGTCAGATTGATCTCAGTTCTGCTTACCACCAGCTGCCTCTCCATCCGGACATTCGTAATCTGACTGTGTTCATAACGCACGAAGGCCTTTTCCGTTTCACTCGGGTTCCGTTTGGACTGGCTTCAGCGCCATCAGCCTTCCAAAAAATGATGCAAACGGTCCTAAGGGAGCTGGATGGTGTAAAGAATTACTTAGATGACATCATAGTATAATTCTCAGGAGGCCCATGATAAGCACCTCCAAGCTGTTCGTCAAAGGCTAGAGGAGGTTGGCTTGCATATTAACTTTGATAAAAGCTCCTTCAACCAAGCAAGCATTCCGTTCCTGGGCCATGTAATTTCTAAAGAAGGACTACGTCCCAGCCCAGATCACCTGATTGCCATTGCGGAGGCACCTCGACCTACAGACATGGTAGCTTTATGTTCGTTCCTAGGCCTCACTTCATGGTTCAACAAATTTCTTCAGAACTACGCTACTGTGGTTGAGCCACTGAGGCAGATGCTCAGAGCTAATGCACAAACACCACTGGAGTAAAGAGACAGTTGAAAGCTTTGATATGCTTAAGAGAATGCTGCTGCAGAGCCCTGTTCTTGCTATTTATGACCCTTCCCTGCCCACATTCATTAGTACAGACACCTCGGTTTACGGCCTTGGCGCTGTTCTGACACAGCTGCGTCCTGATGGGTTTGAAAGGGTGATAGCTTTTGCATCCAGGACGCTATCAACGTCTGAGAGGAAATACTCTGCTGTGGAGAAAGAGGCGCTTGTGTGTGTTTGGGCGGTAGAAAAGTGGAGAACATATGTGTGGGGACATCGTTTCACTTTAAGAACTGATCATCAGGCCCTTATCACCCTTCTCTCCACAAAGGGCATGAATAGAGCAGGCATGAGAGTAGCTCGTTGGTCTGCTAGGCTCCTGTGCTTCCAGTATGATATTCAGTATAGTCCAGGGAGAAAAAACTGTGTGGCGGATTATCTCTCACGTATACCGTTGAGCCATACAGACATTACTGTATCCACTGAAATTGCAGAAATTCAGCCGTTTCTGACTGCATTGCCACTAGTGGACTTTAAAGCTGAATGCGAGGACTTTCCAGAGCTGTCACAGTTACGCCAGACAATTCAGTCAGGTTGGCCTAAACTGCAAAAGTCTGTCTCCAGTGACTTACGTCTATATTTCCCTGTTAGACATGAACTGGCTGTTGAATCGCCATTGATTTTCAGAGGGAATCGTTTGATTGTTCCTATTGCACTGCGGGAATGCCTCATCCACCTGGCACACGAGGGACATCAGGGGCTGGTGTGAACCAAACGTCTGAGAGAGCTGTATTGGTGGCCATGAATGGATGATCTTGTTCACACAATCCTATCTGCGTGTGTGACCTGCCAGGCCAGTGATAAATCGGCCAAAACGTTCACAGCTCCAATGCAGCCGGTAGAGTTCCCGAAAGGCCCATTTCAACATGTTGCTATTGATATAGTAGGACCATTTGAGAAGGAAGCTACTGACTGTAAGTTTGCAATAACTCTGACTGACTATTTCAGCAAATGGCCAGAAGTTGGTTTTGCTTCATCGGTAACAACAGAGACTGTTCTGAAATTTCTGACCACGATCTTTGCTCGAGAAGGAAACCCCTGCACCATCACAACAGACAATGGACCGCACTTCACTTCATCTGAATTTGCAGATTTTGTGAAAATGCAGGGAATAAAGCACATAAAGACAAGTGTTTATCACCCTCAGGCTAATGGGGCCATTGAACAATTCAACAGGGTTCACTTCATCTGAATTTGCAGATTTTGTGAAAATGCAGGGAATAAAGCACATAAAGACAAGTGTTTATCACCGTCAGGCTAATGGAGCCATTGAACAATTCAACAGGGTGCTTAAAGAATGTCTTCAGGCTGCTGAGATGGCTCGTAAACCCTGGAAATCGGCAGTCCTGACCATGCTGAAAAGCTATCGAGCAACACCCCATGCTACAATGGGTGAGACACCTTTTCTGCTCTTGAGAGGTCGACCTATGAGAACAAAGTTGAATGTTCTTCTGCCAGAGGATAGCCCTGATCGATTCATTCAGGTCAGAGCTTGTGTGACACAACGACAGAACAAAAGTAAACAATTCATTCCCCCCCTCCAATTCCCACAGAAAATCATTACAGGTAGTTTGTTAGTTTCACTTCACAAATGATATAGTACTTTATTTCGTTCTTACAACTTGTATGGAAAATACATTTTATTAACATACATGATTAAAGTACAAGCAGTGCAGGTAAAGCAAGAGGACAAACACACAGCAAATACCAAAAGAAGACGCAAGTGCAAATCAAAAACTATCACACAATAAAATATGGATGAAACAACCAAATCGTCTCTATGATGACATCTAGTGGACAATGAGAGGATAGATTAATACATGAACATAAGCCTATTGCTATTTTCTTATAATATTCATTATTCTGTAAGACATATTAATAATGTAACAGTAGATTAATGCATATGTACCAAGTGGTACTGTATCAGCGGTTAGAAGGATCATGTGTTGTGGTGACACAAATCTTGTTTTAAAATGTCATGGATTATGAATATATGCATGTTATGATTAATAATTGAAACAATATGATTAATAATTAGGGTAATATATCCAATTCACCAACTTTTGGTACATTTTTGAATTCTAATGTTGATGAAAGTTGTCTGAGCATTCATCATATAGATCCAGCAACAGAACCTGAAATTATACAAATTAATTATAAAACATGTATCTTTGTAATTGCATTATATTATGATATTTTGCATTGTTTTTAGATTATTTCACCTTAAATCTTCAGTTTGGAGTAAACAGTGTCAGAACTCTCCTTTCCTAACAGATGACAAGAGTGGCTCATACATTTATTTCACATTTATCTTATTATACATGCATTTATTTTCCTGTATTATGTTACAACAAACAACTGCAAAAGACATCTCAGCAGGTTTGGTGTCATACCTTTGTTTTCTTTCTTAATTTCATTCATTGATTTCAGGTCAATCTTTACATAGGTTACATCAGAAGGTCCATATATGGTGTCTGCATTAAAAAAAATAATGAATGAGTGAGACATTTTCCTCTCTTTTTCTGGTTTTAGTTTTTCAGTTGTTTGTATTTACTGAGTTTATTTTTTTTGTTCTAAACTGATGATGGCTACTATTTTAAAATTTAATTTTATAAAATTAAATAATTTAAACCAAAGTACTTGTTTCTATATAGGTCAGATATGCAAATATCATCCATCCATCCATCCATGCCACTGTAACCTATCTAATCACACATTAATATTCAAACATTTATGTTAAATACTGCTATTAATTTAAAGATATTGTGAGTATTTCTGGGTTATTGACTGAGACTGACCGGACTGCGGTGGTGTTGGTCCACTCTTCTTCTGTTCTGATGTCTGACTGATGTTTTGCAGCTGATGCTCAGTAGAGGGAGACGGAGATCCTGCACCTACTCAAACACAGAGAAACCTCAGGAATGATTCACAAACAGCTTTCCTGCCCTCAGATTATGACAGATATTTATATAAAATGATCTTTAACCATAAAACGCTTCCAAAGGTCATTATAGTTAAGACAGTCTGTATAAGTAGTCTATGCTGATTTAAAGAGATGAGATGAACCTTTGTTGTGTTTGCAGCACCACAGCAGGGCCAGTAAGAACATGAGCAGAAATGTGACACTCAGTCCTGCAATCACTCCAATTATCAGAGCATGAGCTTCGGAAAACTCTAGTTCTGAAGATCCTGATGTTTTAAAATAAAAGGTCAGTAGGTCAAATTAATCAATTGGTTAATCTGCAATTTGATTGTGACATGTTTTAGCCTAAATTAAACCCATTTATTAATTAAAGTGCCCCTATTATGTGTTATGAAAGGTTCATATTTTGGTTTTGGGAGTCCCCAACAACAGGTTGACATGCATGCAAGGTCAAAAAACACTTTCATTGTCTAATAACTTGCATTTATTTTTTTCCTTTTTTGCTCAATGACTCCCAAACGGTTCTCTCAACAATTAATTTTTCCAACCCCTCCTTTGCGTGACGCTAACCTGCGGTGATTGGTCTGATGACCCAGTCTGTTGTGATTGATCTACTGCATGCAGCGCATGTCAAAAACGGAACGCCCATCACCATTACTTATGCTGCGTTCAAGTGCTCCTGGGACGTTCGTACTTACGAGTTGACAAGTCGTAATTACGACGTCAAAAAAAGCTCATTTTTTGTAAATAAAAAGCCTGACAATGTCACCGCTTAATACCTAGTATTGTGATTTATGTTTTACTTTGGCAATCTCTCTGTCTCCCTCTGTCAGACATGCAGTTCTACAGTACTTGTCACTGACAACCCACTAAACTATCAATTTAAACAAAAATTTACCATCAACTACATCCATCGATTCCTCCATGTTTCTCATTGACACGCCCCCAACTCGGAAACTCGGGGCTTAAAGAAAATGTCGAGTTTCCCACTCGTAATCACGACTTTATGGTGGCGTTCATGTGCGTTCAACTCGTAAATACGATCTATCCGACACGACTTGAACGCACCATTACATGAGTCGCGCATCGAGTTGTCACAAAGTTTCGAGTCAAAAGTCGATGTTGGTTTATTAGCTGTTGGGTAAACAAGGGACCAGTCTTGCGTATAGGGGAGAGCGGGGTGAGTTGAGTCAGTTTTTACTTACGCAGTGTTTAAAGCGAGCACATGACAGTAATGGGTACAACTTAAATATGTACATAGATTTCAGGATGTGGTGCCTCCTTGGGAATAATCACTTTAGGTCTAAAATAAACTGCTTTTAAAATATGGCTTTCCAATGTTTAGCCCAATGCAGAAACGTATTGATAAAGCACTGCAGTTTGTACATCAACGTATTGCTCTATTCTTTATCAGAACTAATAACAACGACAAACATTCACTATTCATCGACACATTTCTAGACAATTGCCAGCAAACAGATATTGCTGTTAGCCGGTTAGACGGAGACCTACAAGCTGCGCGGAGCGAACACAACACACACAACTAAATACGTATTTTGCATGCTACAGAGAACATGAGAGCAACAATTTTTAATCATACTTACAGGTTGTGATTTGGAGGAGGAAGAAGCCGGTCCAAATAAACTGGGTACTGATCCTTCTTTCAATAACAACAGGAAAATTTTAAATCGCATCATATGACCCCTTTAAAAAAAAATATTTATACACTTTTTAACCACAAATGCTGGTCTTGTCTAGCTCTGCGAGGCTAGATAACGATGCTCAGAGCAGGCTGTACCGGTGGTAAATATAAGGTTCTGACAGAACAGGCAGGTTGTCGATGAGTGACAGCAGAATAAGGATGGAACTAAGTGTGGATGCGCTGTCCTTGAAGGACGTTCAACCCGGTTTTGTTTATATTTTGCTTAGCCTATAATTTAAAATGAAAGATGTCGTATTTATTTATATTTCTCTGCGACACGTTTCCTACTGTGTTAACAGAAAACAGTACAGAGTACATGACAGCAAATGTTTTTTTAAAAATTACTCCACTTTCAGAATAAAAATTTCTTGATAATTTACCCCCATGTCATCCAAGATGTTCATGTCTCTCTTTCTTCAGTCACAAAGAATTTAAGGTTTTTGAGGAAAATATTCCCGTATTCTTCTCCATATAGTGGACTACTCAGTGGTGCTCAGCGGATTGAAGGTTAAAAATGCAGTTTCAATGCAGCTTCAAAGGGCTCTACACGATCCCAGCCGAGGATTAAGGGTCTTATCTAGCCAAACGATCAGTTATTTTCTGAAAAAATATATATTTATATACTTTTTAACCACAAATGTTCGGCTAGCATTAGCTCTACAATGCGCGTATTTATTAGGTGATGTTGGAAAGGTCCGAAACCGGTTTTGTTTATATTTTGCTTAGCCTATAATTTAAAATGAAAGATGTGTATTTATTTATTTTTCTCTGCGACTTTCCTACTGTTAACAGAAAAATGTAAAACGAATTTAGTATTTTGACAAGACGAATTTAGTATTTTGACAAGACGAATAAAAATAGCTAATAGGCTATTTTTGTACAGCCTACATTTTATTTTTTTTCTCTCTCTGCGACACTTTTTCCCTATTGTGTTGTCAATGTTAAACGAATTGTATCCTGACAAGACGAATAAAAATAAGAAATAAAATTTTAGTACATTTTTATTTTCTCTGACACTTTTTTCCTACTGTGTTGCATAAAATATTAAACGAATTTTGTGTCTTAAGAT